TTACAACTTGAGCCCTATATTATGCATGATACCAATTTGACATGGTACTTACAACTTGAGCCCTATATTATGCATAATACCAATTTGACACGGTAATTACAACTTGAACCCTATAGTATGCATAATACCTATTTGACATGGCAATTGCAACTTGAGCCCTATAGTATGCATAATACCAATTTGACATGGCAGTTACAACTTGAGCCCTATATTATGCATAATACCAATTTGACATGGTAATTACAACTTGAGCCCTATATTATGCATGATACCAATTTGACATGGTAATTACAACTTGAGCCCTATAGTATGCATCATACCAATTTGAAATGGTACTTACAACTTGAGCCCTATATTATGCATAATACCCATTTGACATGGTAATTACAACTTGAGCCTTATATTATATGCATAATACCAATCTGACACGTTAATTACAAATTGAGCCCTATATTATGCATAATACCAATTCTACATGGCAATTACAACTTGAGCCATATAGTATGCATAATACCAATTTGACATGGCAATTACAACTTGAACACTATACTATGCATAATACCAATATGACATGGTAATTACAACTTGAGCCAAATAGTATGCATAATACCAATTAGACATGGCAATTACAATTTTAGCCCTATATTTTGCATAATACCAATTTGACATGGTAATTACAACTTGAGCCCTATAGTATGTATAATACCCATTCGACATGGCAATTACAACTTGATCCCTATGGTATGCTTGATACCAATTTGATATGGTAATTACAACTTGAGCCCTATAGTATGCATAATACCAATTTGACATGGTAATTACAACTTGAGCCCTATAGTATGCATAATACCCATTTGACATGGTAATTACAACTTGAGCCCTATAGTATGCATAATACCAATTTGACATTGCAATTACAACTTCAGCCCTATAGTATCCGTAATACCAATTTGATATGGTAATTACAACTTGAGCCCTATAGTATGCATAATACCAATTTGACATGGTAATTGCAACTTGAGCCCTTTAGCATGCATAATACCCATTTGACATGGTAATTACAACTTGATCCCTATGGTATGCTTGATACCAATTTGATATGGTAATTACAACTTCAGCCCTATAGTATGCATAATATCCATTTGACATAGCAATTACAACTTGAGCCCTATAGTATGCATAATACCAATTTGACATGGTAATTACAACTTGAGCATTATAGTATGGATAATACCAATTTGACATGGCAAGTACAATTTGAGCCTTATAGTATGCATAATACCCATTTGACATGGTAATTACAACTTGAGTCCTATAGTATGCATAATACCAATTTGACACAGGAATTACAATTTGAGTCCTATAGTATTCATAATACCTATTTGACATGGCAATTACAACTTGATCCCTATAGTATGCTTGATACCAATTTGATATGGTAATTACAACTTGAGCCCTATAGTATGCATAATACCAATTTGACATGGCAATTACAACTTGAGCCCTATAGTATGCATAATACCCATTTGACATGGTAATTACAACTTGAGCCCTATAGCATGCATAATACCCATTTGACATGGTAATTACAACTTGAGCCCTATAGTATGCATAATACCAATTTGACATTGCAATTACAACTTGAGCCCTATAGTATGCATAATACCAATTTGACATTGCAATTACAACTTCAGCCCTATAGTATGCATAATATCCATTTGACATGGCAATTACAACTTGAGCCCTATGTTATGCATAATACCAATTTGACATGGCAATTACAACTTGAGCCCTATAGTATGCATAATACCAATTTGACATGGCAATTACAACTTCAGCCCTATAGTATGCATAATATCCATTTGACATGGTAATTACAACTTGAGCCCTATGTTATGCATAATACCAATTTGACATGGCAATTACAACTTGAGTCCTATAGTATGCATAATACCAATAATACCTATTTGACCTAGCAATTACAACTTGAGCCCTATAGTATGCATAATACCAATTTGACATGGTAATTACAACTTGAGCATTATAGTATGGATAATACCAATTTGACATGGCAAGTACAATTTGAGCCTTATAGTATGCATAATACCCATTTGACATGGTAATTACAACTTGAGCCCTATAGTATGCATAATACCATTTTGACACAGGAATTACAATTTGAGTCCTATAGTATTCATAATACCAATTTGACATAGCAATTATAAAATGAGCATTATATTTTGCATAATACCAGCTGGTCATGACAGTTACAAAATGAGCATTATAAGTAGAATCTATCGGCCATGCCAATTACAAAATGAGCATTATAACATAAATAAAATATATCGGCCATGCCAATTACAATATGTACATTATAACATACATAAAACCAACTTGCAACGTTAATTACAAAAAAAAAGCATTATAATGTACGTAAAACCAATTGCTACTGTCATTGCAAAATGAACATTATAATTTACATAAAACCAATTAGACACGGCAGTTGCAAATATTATAGCACTGTATACATTATGAACAACAGTCATTTGTTCGCTACATCGAAATGTCTTTTCTTACCATTATATTGAGCAATGGGCACGAAAATTTCAGTCTGGAAGATGTCCTTCATAAACGGAGGAAGATAAATATAAAAAGCGTTAGATGCATTTTACATTTTGGCATCCATGACAAAATCTTTCCATCCTCCTTCATCTCATACCCAGAGACCATATATACCCGTGGGTAATGCAATCTCAGCTGATAACATCGTAAGCCCATACCCCAGTTTCAAGTAATTTCTAAACATTTCTCCTCTAATTAGGATTACACATTTTCCCCCTGATGTTAGGACAATAACATGATTTTTCGCCAACGATAGAAATTGTAACAAAAATGAGAGATAATTACCAATAGCTTTAAAACGAATACCTGCGACAAATATTTTAAGTCTTGAAAGAAAAATACGAGTTGAGAAGATTCTCAAATATAAGCAAATCCTTTTCCTTAAACGGACAACAACAATGGTTTCAAAAAATAAGGACATTATAAATGTAATTTAATTATTAACGCCTATATAAGATAACATAAACATTTCTTTGCTCAAGCAAGTAAATAAATATTAGGAAATCGGAAATATCATGAACTAATTTTTGCAATGTTTAGTGCAATTGGGACCATATCGGCTGTCGCATACAATGAAGGCAGATTAGGGTATAGGCTATTCTTTCTACTAATAATTTTGACTCACTTTGAGAAGAAAAAAAAAATTGTGGACACTGTATTTGTAATATAAAATTGATTTCATGAAAAGAAAATTTGATGGAGAGTAATAACACAGTTCCTCCAGCATTCAATTTCAAATGGTAATGCAACACTTGAAGAAAAACATTATATCAATTTGGAGATGTTTCGTAGCATCCTTTTCGTGTAACTGCTTCATGGCACGTATTTTGGAAACTATAACTGGTTGATTAATGATAGACGTAGACCATAGTTTGCTGCGACATGGGAGATAACTCACTGGTCTTATCGAGAGAAAAAAAAACCGCCACAGCGGACAAGTTCCAGGCGACAAGCGACGTGACAGTCTATACGATACGTATCAAAACAATTCGTGCCAACCCTACGTGAAAGCGTGGAAATCTTATTGTGATTTATATTCCTCACAGTGGGGTTCATTCCATTACAGCTCGGATAACGCCACTGTCACATAAATTTAAATCTGTCAAAACCTAATAGCAAGGCTTTGCCTCGAATTTATCTTGCTTTCGAAAGAAATCACTAAAAGTAACGACCATAATAGTAAATGTAATGATTAAGATAGCAGAGTGCTGTCATTATAAATTTATCGATCTTTGCACACGAAATCTCGTCTCTAAAAATTTAATGACGATTAAAAAGAAACTAACCCCGGTGTCAAACGGTGTGTGCTGGCCGTGGCGTTATTGATGGCAGTTTGTGATTCTTTAAAGCCTGTTGTACAAGCGGTGTTGATGTAATTTGATACATAAATGTAAGAGGCGCCGTAGCGGACAAAAGTTGGTCCATTCAGAACGTTGACATTTAAATTTTAATGGCACATGTCCAGAATTTCAAAATCACGCGTTGTATCAGAAATGATTGTCCTTAAAGTTCCGTTTTCCAGGTCGAGATTTTAGATTGTGTCTGTTGAATTAAATAGTAGTAGCTGAAAGATATTTTCCATGTCAAGGTTTTAGATTGTGTCGTTTGAATTACACGGCGATGGTTGAAATTTCAATGTCATACGTCGAGAATTCCTAATTTACGTATTGGTTTAAATAGTTTATGTTGGAAGTTCCATATCATATGTTGAATATTTAGATTTCATCTGTTGAATTATATAGCGTTAGTTGAAAATTTTATGTCTGATGTCGAGGTTTTAGAATGTATCTTCTGAATTAAACTGTGATTGTTGAAATTGTAATGTCATTTGTCGAGAGTTCCAATATAACATGTTGAATCACATTGAGTTGAAAGTTACATTTCGTATGTCGAGTTTTTATATTGTATTTGTTGAATTACACAGCGGTGGTTGGACATATTATTGTGCTTCTCAGAATTGCTATTTTAATATGTTGAAATCATGTGTTAGTGTTGTTGTTATTATTCTGGGGCTTAACGCCATTTTTCAGCACAAGATAGGCTATACATGGCGGCCAGTATTAATGATGGAGGAAGAAACTGGGAAATCCGCGAAAAGAACCAACGACCCACGAGAAGTTATTGGAAAGCTTTCTCACATATCCACATTCGCCGAACCTTAGACTCGAACCCACGCAGACAAAGGTGATATGGTAGTGATCCGTAACGGAGAGCGCTTTAGACCACTCAGTCACTCAGGGCTCCATGTGTTAGTGTTAAAAAAAATATTTACGATGTCCACTTTACAATTCAAAACAAAATCGAGTATTAAGATACATCATTCGTGTATTCAATTATGAGGCTCATTACATTTTATGCATTTACAGTTCGACCGCTCCGATGGCATAATGGTTAGAGCGTCCGCCTCCGATGCGGGAGGTCGTGGGTTCGAAAGCCGGCCAAGTCATACCAAAGACTTACAAAAATGGTACTAACATCTGCCTCGCTTGACGCTCAGCATTAAGAGGTTAGAGTTAGGACTGGTTGGCCTGGTGTCAGGATAATGTAACTAAGTGAGACATCATACTACTTGTCTGAGGCATGATTCTTTAGTGCTATACATCTTTATAAATTGTCACACTGCAGACATCGTAGCGATATGACTAAATAAATTTAAAAGCTACGCTAAAAATCCAAATCACACAAACACACGAGTAGCCGCGCGCATTTGCAGTTTGAAAGTTGCCATTCACAGGTCGATGTCGGAAGGTGAGCTGAAGTAATCGTATGGTGAATAGTAGTAATCATAGAGTGAGCTTGAGTAATCCTATGATGAGCTTGAAGTGATCGTACGGTGAATAGTAGTAATTATAGCGTGAGCTTGGAGAGTTTGTAGTATGAATTGAAGTAATCTTACTCCATCTCACCCTACAATTATTTCAGCTCACCACACGATCTCTCGAAGCTAACCCTACGTTTAGGACAGCTCGTCCATTTTGAACAATAGGTGGCTCCAAAAATAGCAAGCGTGGCTTACAGAATGCATGTTACATCCTGCTGACAAACATGGCATGATAGCATGGAAATGAGGTAAGAGCAACTGAAACTAAAAAACGGTATATAGATGAAACATCTTTCGATTTTTTTCAATAATAATTCATTTATTCCAAAATATTCGACTGGTTTGAAAATGGGTATGCAGTATTGATGTAATGGGTCAAAGAGATGCAGATCAATCTCTTCATTCGAGACTTGCTAAGGGTTTTTTTATTTGTTTTTTTTTTTACCATTGCTCAGTTCTGTTCGTATTTCACAAGCCAGCATCATATTCTTATTTTTTTTTACAAACTCCTTCCTACGCTCCTATTATAAGCCTATAATTTCAGGCGGTACCCGCCAATTGTTTACACGTTGTTAAATATATAATATAATATACATGTGGTTCAGAAAGATGTACTGTTCGGCCAGTTCAGAGCGTTGAAATTAAACTATAACATGTCGACATGGTTTCTTTTAAGTTAAGTTTATAATAGAAAGGCAAACCTACAAGAAAAAGATCTTAGCTGAGGTCTTCAGAATGGGAGATAACTTCTCACGAGAAGGCCATGGTCGAGTGCCTGTGGGAAATGATGAGGTAACTGCTGAAGCCAAATTGTAGGGAAACTTTCTATTCTTCAAAAGTGCACAAAGTTATTAAGACAAAGTAACTTTAATTAACATTTTTGATAGGGGCCCCGAATGTCCGAGTTCTTAAAAGAGCTCTCCGTTCCGGGTTACTGCTATCTCACCACTCTCTACGTGGGTTCGAGTCTCGAGTTCGGCTAACGTGGGTACGTGAGAAAATCTGCCATTTGCTCGGTGGTTCTTCCCGGGATTTTTCCTAGCAGCAGAGAGGGTGAATCCTACAAGGTTTTGCACGAGTCCGTTATAAAAAATAAAGGTTCCCAAGAATGGCTAAAAAATCAATGTCAATAACGTTAAACAGAAGTCTCTAACGGAGACTATTTCCATACGATTGAGAACGGATAATAACCATGGCCTTCTTGTAAAATGTTATCCCCTATTCTGAGAACGTATAATAAATCGTTGACGTATTTTTTCAAATTTTATGCGCATTTGTTTACTTGCATGGACACTCAATTTTTGTCGTTCAACTTCCATGCTGCTATAAATTAAAGACTTTATCCTGACCTATACGATATCTGGATCTTGGGTCATGTAGAATTATTGTTATAACCATCTCATTATTAAATTTAATAATAGCTGTGTTTTATCTATGGACCTATTATAATCATTTTGATAGAATTTGGTAATTTGGATAGTGCTTTACTGTTTCCTGTTTTCGTGTCGCAGAAAAGTCAATTATTGTATCGATATTATTAATAACATTAATCTATAATGTGTTCGATGTAGAGTATCTACACCCACCACTGGACTGATAACAATAATAACAAAAAAATAAAAGACGTGCAATTATAGGTAAATGTGTAAAATGTGGCACATAAAATTATACATTTATCTCCCTGACTAAGTCAGGGATAAAGACAGGTGGATATATCGCTGCTTCATTAAGGAAATTGCCAGTGGCTACATGGGCTAAATACGCCTGTGAGAAACACCTTCATGGATATAATTACTGTGGTCCTGGAGCTCGACTTGATATCCGACTTGGTGATCACGATCAACCAAGACATGGAGAGCATCCAATAAATAAGATTGATCAAGCATGTTGTGTTCATGATGTTGCTTAGAAAAGTAAAGTTTTGCAGCAACGGCATCTCGCAGATGTGAAATAGATTCATGCATTAAATTATATACCTAATAAATCTCTCAGTGAAAAACTCGCTAGTCTAAAGTAAAATCTGCTATGAAAGGTAAGAATATCTAGGGGCTGGTAACTAATTATATAACTATTATAATAGAATCTATTTATTATAGCCCAAGAGGATATTGGAGAGGCAGAACAGCGATTAATAAACTTGCTGATGCAGCAAAAGTCTCAAGTTCTGTTGCTAAAAATTGGCTAGCACGACAGGCAATATGTCAAATTTATTTACCACCACCTGAAAAAATTTAATACGCACATTTTAATGTCAGCATCTCTAACGAAGTTCATCAAGCAGATATTTTTTTACCACACGATACTATTAAAACACGTGGACGAAAATCACTCCATAATGGATACTAAATATCGATTTGTATCACTATTCACGACCAATAGTGTAATAAATTTCTCCAATTATCAAAACTCCTGACCGCACTTTTAGCTAATTGGGTCACATTTCTGCCGCTTTAATGTCATTAATGGCAATATCGGTGAATTTGTCATCTACATTAACTCTGTCCCGTGCTGGTTCTCGTTCTTTTGGCGCTGGTTCTGGTTCTTCAGGTTCTGGCATTGGTGCATCATCAAACATCTCAGGTGGTGGCAACTCAGCAGCTATCTCGACAGGAAGATCACGCAGACGTTTTTTCGACTGTTTGGTTCTTTTTGCTTTCTTGCCAGTTGCGTCCGCAATCTTTTCAGATACAGGAAGAAGAGGTTTAGTTATCTCTATGATAGGACTGAATAATTGTTTTATATCTTCTGTAAACTCTATTTGAGATTTTTGTAGCTCTTGTAATTGTTGTTTAACAGAATCACGATCAGGTAAATATTTTTCGATTGCCTCCAGTCGCTCTAGAGCTAATTTAGCTGAATGAGGTTCTCCAATATTCATTATTGATAATATTATTTTTAGGTTAATTTATAGCAAGTAAACTAAATCGCATAAAAATTTGAAGAGAAAAATACGTCAACAATGTGATCTAACCCGAAAGATTTATTATCCGTTTTCATCCGTATGGAAATAATCTTCGTTAGAGGCTTCGGTTTAACGTTATTGTCCTTGTTTTTTTTTTTAACCATTCGTAGAAACATTTATTTTTGGTAACGGACTCGAGCAAAACCTTGTAGGGTTCACCCTCTCTGCTGCTTCCTTGGTTCTTCCTCCACCAGTTATACTGGCCGCCATGTGTAGCCTATCTTGTTGTTGTTGTTGTTGTTGGGTTTGACGCCATTTTTCAGCACACGATAGGCTATACATAGCGGCCAGTATTAATGGTGGAAGAAGAAACCGGGAAATCACCGGAAAGAACCAACCACCTACGAGAAGCTACTGGCAAGTTTTCTCACATATCCACATTCGCCGAATCCTAGACTCGAACCCACGCAGACAGAGGTGAGATGGCAGTGATCCGTAACGGACAGCGCTTTAGACCACTAGGCCATTTGTGGTAGCCTATCTTGTGCTGAAAATGGCGTTAACAATAACAACATTTTAGATCACTGAAAAAATACACAATCATTTCTAATGAAAAAGCGCCCAACATAATTGTTAAAGAACACTTCTTTACTTATAAGAACTGTTTATCTTGGAATTGTAATTCATTATTAATTTTTTTTCACGGTTAGAAAATAGTAAAAAATGCAAGTCATGTAATTCTTACAAGAAACGGTTCAATGAATGATTTTATAATATCAAAATACACTAATGTTTTGCTTCAGTAATAAACATTCAAAGAAAAGTTGAAATTTCAAGGAAAGTACAATAAGAAGAAATCCTCGGAAAAGTGAGATTTTAATTGATATCAGGTTCCGTAGTTTATATGACTAATACTAGAAGGCCATGTAGTCATTCGACCCCTGTGTTTCTGATCAAATCATGTCATTGTTTTCTATATTTATAATTTAATAGTAGTTCAGATAAACATAATATTAATTAAAGCTAATTAATAGAATTTTCTGCTTTGAGTATTACTTTATTCTGACTGGAAAAGTAAAATTATTGTATTTCATGTGCCTCAAAAAAAGCGTCTATGAAATATAAATTGTAAGCCCCAAAGAAAGGTACATGAAAAGAAATAAATATGTCCATGTCATGATACGTTTTACTGCCCACCTGAATCATTTGAACTAACGGATGTTATTATATCTGCTTGCCCTTCAAAACAAATAGTCTGAAAAATGTAAAGACATTTAACGATTTATCTTTTTTCTAATCGGATTACAATGCAATGAATTATATCGGATGTAGAAACAAATTTAAACACTGCATATTTTAAAAAGGATTATCATGTTTAATTTGGGTTGTGCATAACACATTAAGAAAGCATGAACAACATTTGCATTGATGGGGCAGAAGGTTGACTGTGTTACAATGCAGCACGCGCGCGGCAGACGTCATAATATATAAGTAATGTCACAGTGAAGCAATTCTGAAAAGAAGACATGCTTCAGAACAACCTTATGGCAGTGGTATTATATGAGCTGTGATGAACATGAAAAAAGTAGAGTACGGTGTTCGAGTGATTTAAAAAAAAAAAACAGCACGCTTTTACAGGTCACTTAAAACTCACATGCGGTCGAGTCTCAGGCTAGGCCTTAGTGGCTATGTAAAAAAAAAAATAGTCTGCCTGCAGCTTTCC